GTGTGCATGGAGCCTAAAGAAATTGAGAGCTGAATACATTGACATCAGTCTTAGGATCACAGCTACTTCATAGTTATCACCTGACAAACTAGTGTTGCCTAATGTCTGCTTCACATTAAAGGAGAAGCACGGCCAAAGCTTTTTTGGCCATACTTCTATTGTGAATGTCAGCTGACGTCATAGCGTCGCTCCAGGCAATAATGTTGGGATCCACTCATATGCCTCCTCAGCAGCTGGCTCAGCCTTTCTATGCTAGCTGCTCCCACCCTCTCCACAGCCCAACACTCCATTGAAAGCTGGAGGGCGGAGAAAAGAGATTGTGACTGTCAGTCACTGCTCTCTTCTCCTAGAAGTCTGGGAACTGATCGATCAGCAGTCATGTGATCTCTCAGTTCTTGGTCTTAGGTCTGGCGGGGAACAGCTTCAGCAGACCGATGCTGCAGCATGGAGGTTTTTTTTTCCTTTTTTTCCTGTTTCCTGTTCTGCACTTAGCATGGGGCAGATCAAGGTGGACTGCTACATCATGCTTGGGGAAAAGTTTTTTTGACCACAATCATTCACCAAAATACATGAATAAAATGGATTAAAAGAATTTTGACACTATTTTAACTTGATAAGATCTGACAATCAGCTTTGTTACAATGACAAAAAAAAATAGGGATGACAGAAAGTGAAAACTGGCATGTAATGACCACATAGTAACAAGAAGCATGGTGGTAGGAGAAAGCAGAGTGACAGAGAGATAAGATCATCACTGCACTGCTTCTCCTTTCACTGTCCAGTCACAGGCTGGGTGCACATCATCTGGACTGCAAGAAAGTGGGATGAATAATGCAACTGTGGACATCTAGTGGCAGGAAAAAAGTACTGCAGGGAAAATCTACGGATTGAAGGTGAATACTGCAGCTAACACTATATGCTATTCATTTTATCTGGTTATTTTAAGCTGGAGGTCTACATTCTGGAATATAAAATGTGTTGAGATGTGAGCTGACACTTGTTTCTTTTGTCCCTTTATTTCCAAAAAGTTTCTGACTGCTGCAAGCAGTTTCACAGACAATCATTTCCTTTTGTTTCAAGGTCTAGGTGATGCAGCGGTGATAGTACATTTGCTTCTTAGGCTTTTATCTTCAGCTAATAACCAAATCTTCTATTTCTCGTATCAGTTCATCCCCCACAGTTATTAACTTTTGTACCACCAGCCCCTCCCTCTGGGATTCTGTAAAATAATTGGGTAATTTGATATCATCGTTTCTACCTCTTAAGCCAATTACACATAATCCTCTATTTCCACCAGGCCTAGAACATCCCCCTTCTTTCTCTTAATGGACCTCCCATGGCTTTGTCATTGTACATGATTTTCTGAACGTTCGTACGTTTCCATCATGGGAATCTCTTCGAGGATCAAGGGAGGTCCCGCCATGGGAATATTATCGGTATTTGCAGTTGCGCCACTGGGTCTTATCCCTCCGTCATACCTCTACATATCCTTAATGCAAAACGCCCTTTGAACACGTCTGTCAGCATTCCCCTGGGTCCCCTGGTCTCATTTCTGTAATTTAAGCCTCCCTTAACAGTCCTCCTCACCACCCCTATCTTATGTCTCTCAATGGGAGTGAGATCTGGGTTTCTCGATTGCGGCAGAGGATTGGCGTAGGGCCTGGGGGATGGTGGCGAAATGTTAGTTCAATACAGTCACTCTTGAGGCAGCCTACAAAGTTCTCCTGCGGTGGTACTGGGTCCCGGCTCAGACTGCTCACTTTAATCCGACTGGCGGAGATAGGTGTTTCCGGAACTGTGGTCTACGTGGGGACGTATTGCACATTTGGTGGTCATGCCCACGATTGATAGGCTTCTGGTCTAGGGTTTTGGTTTGTTACAAATGCTATTTCATATTACGGTCTGTAGGGATGCAAGGGTGGCCCTCCTGCACTGCCCAATTTTGGGTCTGTCTAGCTCTGCAGAAATTGGCATCCTACCTATTTATTTCGGTCAAACGTGCTATAGCTCAGGCTTGGAGAACCCCTTCGGTTGTCTTCCAGGGGGTGAAGACCCGGATGAATGCTATGTTGATCAATGAACAGATGTCTAGCGTTCTTCATGATTCTCATCTGAGATTCCTTAAGGTTTGGGAACCTTGGATACGTTATTCTTTGCCATCCCTGCCTCCTACCAGTTATGGCCTCTTATAGCCACTACCTGTGCTAGCCCTGGATCCGTGACTCTTCTAGTTTTCCTTTCCTCCATGTTTTCTTTCTGATTCTTTTTTTTTCCTCTTCTTTCTTCTTCTTTCCTCTCCTTATTCCAGTAATATGATGGATTGCTGCTGCTATTATTTGGGTGGCTTTTTGCCGTCCCTCCTTGATGTCATTGGACATTCCGCTATTTGGCTAATACAAGTCAGCAGGATGTATCTAATTATGTGTTATTGTTGTGCTCTGCCCCTGCGTGGGCGTATCTTGAGCTTGTTGTATTCTTAAAACAAAACTTTCTTAATAAAAATATTGAAAAAGAAAAAAAAAATGTACTTTACATCTATGCACATCTTAATAAGGGTTATTAAAAGTTTTCAAATTCAATTTAAATTTACAAAACACCTCCTGGGATCTGTTTGATTTTTGGTTTGCTTAAGTTCTGTACTGAAATGACGAATTTGCTTTAGGAAGCAGACGCATTTCTAAACAGTCTTGTGTATCCTCCGGGGTGCACGTAGCACCAGCTTAGTTCCTGTGCTGTAAACGTGTCCCTGTGGACTGCAGTGTCCCTATGAGGCCCCCTCCTTCTCTCTGCTGTCACGGTGTCACTGCCTTCCCAAAGGTCAGCAGTATGTCAGGCATATGGTGAACTGTGCGAATAGCATTAGGCTAGGTTCACACCTATGCAGTTTGCGTTTGATCCGTTTCTGAAGTGCTTTTTGCGTTTTTGCACATGTGTTTTTGATGCATTTTGCAGGGAGTTTTTTCGTGTAGCTAGGCAAATAAAAAATGAAAACGCAAAATGCATCAAAAGCGCGTCAAAAAAAGCATCACAAACACTACATTCTTTTCTGCAGCTTTTCCATTGAAGTCTATAGAACCAAAAACGCAACTTTTTTGCGCTTAAAAAAAGTCCCTGACCCTTTCCAAAAAACGCACCGGGTGAAAACGTGGAGATGTGAATGTGTCCCATAGGAAATCATGTTAAATGGACTGCTGTGTATTTCTGCAAAACGCTACAGAAAACGCTTACGTGGGAACCTAGGGTTAAACTGAACTTTGATGAGTAAAGCATCAATATCTTTCCATAATGTCCAAATCAGATGTGTAAGGGTATTTTACCTCTCTGCAGTTGTCATACATTGTCCAACGGCTTCACAGTACTTCTAAATCGATACTTGTCTTTGTGACAAATCAGTCTCCTCTGGACATGAGTGCTGTGGGTTTCATAGACCGCAGTGCTGGTGTCGTGTGATTGCCCCACTCTCCCATTGGCCATTCCCAGAATGCAGCCGGCAGCCAGATATTCTGTGAATGGCCAAGGGGAGAGCGGAGCTGAGACATGAGACCAGAACTGCAGTCTATGAGACCTGCACAGCTCATGTCATCTTCAAGTAACTTGAGCTTTACTATCTGTCAGCAAGACAAGGATTGATTTAAAAGTACTGTGAAGCAATCAGACAATATATTACAACTGCAGAGAGGTAACATCGGTTTACACTTCACAAATGAGCAAACTCTCTGTGGCCGGTGTTGGGCTTTAACCCTTAGCAATCTCAGAACAATGTTTTTACATTTTACCTATCTGACTCCTTTTTAGGTGCAATGAGCTGCAACACAGGCTCAACACAAGGGCACATGGAAAACAATTGTTTTCTGTTGGCCCTGGCCACATAACTCAGTGTTGAGGATGTATTTTTACACAGTGCAACATACAACCAGGGTTGCCACCTCATCCCTTTAAAACCGAACACATATTAATTACACAGGTTCTGGGGCTGATTCATTTGATAATTAAACTCACTTAGTGACTTATCTACATTAAATCAGCCTCAGAACCTGTGTAATTACCCGCTTTCCCGACGCTGTATAGCAGATATACTGCTACGCGGTGGCATGGGTCTGCAAAATCACGTATATATACGTGATTTCGCATTTCCAGGTAGGGGGCGCGCGCCCTACTCATGCCACCAATCACAGCCGCGGATGTCAATCACAAGGTCCCGGCCGGTTATTACTGACAATCACTGACATGGAGGAAGAATGGTCTTCCTCCCTGTCAGCTCCCTGTCATAGCAGAAATAGTGTATGTTTCATGAATGCATATGCTAACTGCATCATTTGATTAAATCTAAGCGTCTTCCATGAAGGAATCTTCAAAGTAGTATTCAAATGGTCCTGTGTGATAATTGCTGGCAGGATCACCAGGTATAAATGGAGTAAAAAAAAAAGCATGAAAAAGCCCCTCCCAATTATCAGAGAGAGAGAACATCCTAAACTGAATACACATTTCTGCATTCTCTGGGTCTTAGATCTGCACTGCTTCTCCTAACATCCCACCAAGGGTGAACACATTAACTCCTAAAGAATGAAAGTCCACATGTACAGTTAGGGTGCATTCATACCAGGTGTGGTGGGACTGCACTGGACTGCTATTCAAGCGTAGTCCCACCACACCCCCACTGCAAGACAAGCAAAAATGTACTGCGTGCAATACTTTTTTATATTTTCCAATGGCTTTTATGGAACAGTTTTACAGAAAAAAAACAAGTATTACAAATGAACAATGTTCTATCATACATACAAATATAAGACACTGATAACAACAAGGTTTGTCACAAAACAATTGACAGTTGAGGCAAAACGCATAATACAACACAAATCAAGGTTAAGTGTAACTTGCCCTACCAACATAAAAGGAACAGTGTAGAATAGAGGAAACGGAATACAGAAAGCAAAGAAAAGAGTGGAAGAAGTCAAGATGAGGGAAATTAACCCGTCCAGCCCATTGCTGATAAACAGCAGGACGGAAGCGCTGCCGATGGGGAAGGACGTTTCCAAACGTCCCCCCGCATACATTGCCTGTGCGCCCTCCCCAGGAGCACGCAGCACCACAATCTGTGACCGCTGTGTCCACAGCGGAACACAGATCGCTGTACAGGACCTCTGTGTGAGGTCACGATTCATGTGATCCCTGATTAGCCAAACAGTGATCACCATGAACAGTAGTAAACAAAATGTCACTTCTTGACATCATTGCTTACTACGTGTGAAATCTGTGAATGATCACAGAGATCACATGGCACAAGCCTATTCACAACAGCCTTGTACCATGTGACAAGCTGTGACCAATCACAGCTCTCACAATATTTCTCAATGGCTGCAGGAATGCAGCCAGAGAGAAGAAAAAAGTATTGCTTTTACAGCCTTTATGAGTGTAAAAGCAATCAGTGTAAAAAAAAATCTTCATCACCCCCCACAATTAGTACAGTGTCACTATGGTGACACTGTACTGCTACGGTGACAGTATGTTAAGAAAAAAAAAAAAACATAATAGTATAATAGTATAAAAAAATAAAATTAAAATTAAAAACATTTTTTTTTAAATTATGATTTTTTTATAAACTAATTTGGGTTTTTTGTTTTTTTACCAAAAAGATAGCTGAACACATTTTGGCCAAGATTTGTGAAGAAATATTATTTATTTGCAAAATTGTAGAAGAAAAACACCTTTTTCATTTATTTAGCAAAAAAAAAAAAAAATCCCAGTGGTGAATAAATACCACCAAAATAAAGTTTTTATCTGTCTCAACAAAATGCTAAAAATTTCATATGGGTACAATGTTGCATGCAGGGGCGGACTGACCATTTGGAAACTCGGGCACTGCCCGAGGGCCCGGGGTCAGTAGGGGGCCCCATGAGATGCCCCTGGTACCTTTTTCATAGGCTTTTTTGAGTTTGGGCAAGGACACAAAGGCCCCATGATCCCCTATTGCCTGGGGGCCCCATGAGTTGTCAGTCTGCCCCTGGTTGCACGACCGCGCAATTGTCATTCAAAGTGTGACAGCGCTGAAAGTTGAAAATTAGCCTGGACAGGAAGGGGGTGAAAGTGTCCGGACTTGAAGTGGTTAAGGCCCAGAGATGTATTGAATCCACGGGTTCCATGTGTTATCATATTTTTTTTGAACTATTGTGCAGGATACAGGTTAGTTCGTCATTAACCATAATCCAGTTCAATTTCTTTTTAACATATTCAAGTTGAATGACCGATTGCTTCCAATGTATAGCTATATAATTCTCGCTGCCAGAAACATGTAGGTGATAATAAACATGTAGGCTTTTACAGCTTTTTTTCCCCTCTTCCCACTTAAAACACTGCCGGTCCAAAGTTTTAGAACACCCCCATTTTTCAAATTTTTATTGACATTTAAACAGTTCAAGTCCATTGAATAACCTGAAATGGTACAAAGCAGTAAACTGCCAGAGGTGGGAAAAAAAAAGTTTTGGTTAACAAAAACTGAAAAAGTAATGGGTTAATACTTTTTTTTTTTTAACGCAGCTTGGGTCACCGCACACAAGCTGATAGAACTGTATGAAATGTTAAGGTGTGAGATTTTAACAAAGTTTGTTTTAAAAAAAGTCAACAGTGCAACACACAGGTATCAGCACATCCACACTGTGCTGGTCTGGCCAGATCGCACTGCAGACTGGCCGCTGCAGTAGCTGGTGTGAATGAGCCGTAAAGCTGCACGACCCGAAGCTTGGTAAACATAATTCATCTATTTCTAATAAAGTAGACAGTGATGTAGAAAGGACAGTATCCCAATCAGCAGTCCAACCTACCCAATCAGCCCTCTTTATCAGTAAGTCATATGTATTTATAAGTCCTCATGCACATTGGCTGTTTTTACAGCGGCTGTTTTTGGCTTTTGATGTTTTTCTCTACAGCCAGTAAACTCCCCAGCATGTTATCCTATGTGTCTGTACACACATAGACTGGAATCAACGTTTTTTGGCAGGAGCATTTTTTGGCTGGAATAAAAAACCAGGATTAGTGGGTTTCTAGAGGAGTTTTTTAGCTGTAAAAACGCTCTAACGCTGAAAAACATGGCAAAACGCGGGAAAACACAGGAAACCAGCGTTTTGGGACTTTTTTTTGACCCAAAAAAATTTTTTAAAATGCAAACGCGGATAAACATGGGGAAATGTCGCAAAATACCGCTAAACGCTAATGCAACAATTCTAAAAAAGCAGAACTACTCACGTTTTTAATGTGACTTTACACAGCTAACGTTACCAGCATATCAAAACGCCCCGTGTACATGGAGCCTTAGGTCGGCCATACATGGGTCGAAATTCGATCGATTTTTTGTCCGAAAATTGGACCTAAGAATAATGGGCCGATTTTCGCTTTATTAGTGGGTCAATGATACCAGCTGATTTTCGTGGTTCCTCCCCTTTTCGGTGATCGGGCATGTTGGAAAATTTGTGAAAAACGACCAATTTTGACTCAGTGACAGTCAAATCGTACAATCATTTTTCTGAAAAGAATATGCGCATGAGCCGTGACTTGGAAGGAACAGAAGTTTTGCCTATTATGTGAGGTGAACGTTATGACTTGTTCAGCCGAAATAATTGATGGCACCATCGGATTACCGAGCGAACGACGTTTTCGAACCATGTATGGCCTACATTAGACTTTCAGCCATCCATTATTCTGGAATCCAGCCAATGTCACCTCTGCATTAAAAAAAAAATCCTATCTAGCAAACTATCCTGTGAAAAAAATTGTAGGACCTAACCGAATAGATTTTTCTTTCGCCCATTCCGCAGGCTGTACAAAAGAAATCAAATACATTCCTACATCCACACTAAGGCAGCCCATACGTTGACTATTTTTTTTTTTTGTTCAGATTTTGATTTATGTATGGCCTTTTTAGGCCATACATAAACAGGGCAGTTGGACTAATCTTTCAGTGCGGCTATTTATTCTAACATCTACTGACAATTGGATGCAGATCACAATTTTCTGGCAGGGTCTTTTAACAAACCTTGACTGAATGAACCTTAGTTTATTCCAATGGTTGAAGCCTAGCTTTTCTAAATCACAAGCAAATGTGAAATGAATTCGGATATACTATCACTAAAATAACCGAGCAAAATTAATGACAGACTTCCAAAAAATCTGAAAAACATGCCCATGCTATTTTAAAAATGAATAGGCTCATAAATACTTAATAAGTGAGCAAACAATGTCATAATCACTTTCTCGTGCAGATGACTGTTATTCTAGTAAAAGACGCAATTGGGAATAATGGGTCACATACCAGCATAAACTGCACAGATAAAGTGTAAAACTGAGCTGAAAGCAGACATAGAGGTCCCACACTTAAAAAACATCTAAATCCAAAAACAAAACTGTATTATAGAGAATATTACAGTTTACAAGTCCTTATATGCGGTGGCTGCATTAGTTTCCTAGTTTTTATCCTTAATTTTTACAGCCATGTTTTGTCATACAGGTCTGGACTTTAAAGTGGAGTTCTACTCAAAAGCAGAAGCTCCACTTATTTCACCCCCTCCACTGCCATGTGTGGCACCTTTTGGGGGGGAATGGGTACCTGGTTTTGACAGGTACCCTCTCCCACTTCCGGCTCAGTTGGCCGCAGCGCAGTGAGCCCGAAGTTCAGCCCCCTCCTTCCTCCTGCAGTCTCCTGTGAACTTTCACAGGTCCCAGAAGACTGCAGGACCCATCAGGAGGTGCAGCGCGACTTGCGCATGTGCAGTGGGCAACAGGCTGTGAAGCCGCAAGCTGTCACAGCCTGGTGCCCACAGTTGAGATGCTGGCGCCATGGAGGAGAGAAGGGACTGCGTAGGTGAGAACATCGGTGGACTCTGGGACAGGTAAGTAAGTATGTGTGTTTATTAAAAGGCAGCAGCTACAGTTTTTTTAAAAAGACAAAAAAACACAGCTCAAATCACTAACTAAAATATGCATTCATAGTTAGGGGGGACATCTTAAAGGTATCAAGAAGAAAAATGCAGCTGGTGAAAATGTGCATGCATGGTCAATAACATGTGTAGCACTACGCCCCTTATAAGTCGCTGAGTTTTTGGGTCCCCCATACTACTGCACAGCCAGGCAATACGCAGTAAACAGTCCTTGAGCTTCATTTTATGTTTTATTAAAGGGTTTTGGATGGGGTTGAGGGGTGTATGGGATGCCCAAGGAACTGTAGGAACCTGAGGACAAACTCCTTAGTAACCATATAGAAATCCATAAACAGTTTCTCCTTGAAGAGCTCTCCAGCCCTTCTGGTGTACCTTCTCAGACCTCAGATGAAGCTTCCTCTTCACCCAGCTGCCTGAGGGAATCCCTGAGCAAGGGGACCCGCAAACTGCCACAGTAGTAAAACAGCCCCAGATGAGCAGCTAGTTGGGTTTGCCACCTGATTGACCTTTCCATCTGGTCCAGGGGGTCTCTCCTGTAAGCTTGTGGGTTGGTGGCTGCCTTCAGGCCTTACGCTGGGCTGGCTCCCTCCTGCTTCCCAGGCTGTCTTCTCACAGGGGATGGTTGAGGCTGAGAGGTCTTCCTTCCAAGATCCTGCCTGCAGGTGGGCCCCTGCCTGGGCCCCATCCCAGGCTCCACATTCCAGCCTTCTCACATCAACTTCCACCCGACACTGACCACTTCCAGGTCAGGCTCTCCCATACTTAAGGGCTGGCCTGACCCAATGCCAAGCCTTCTGCTTGGGGATTGGTCAGAGTCCCCTGACTATGCAGATCAACCCCTCCTCACCCCTACCCACTGCCTTCTAGAAACTTCTCAAGCTTCTAGAGCAGAGGGAGGTATCGGGGAGCTCAACTGAAGAGCCCTCACCCCCGACCTGAAGTTACCTGGCTGAATGGCCTCAGGCTGTTATCCAGCCCCTAATTAAAACCTGTCTAGCTCACCCTAGCTAAACATGAGGGGCTCTACACTTGTTTTTCACTTCACAGTGGGAATAAAATAAGCCCCATCATTGCTGTCATTAGCAGTAACGGTAATCCTCAGCAATGGTGTAAGTTGCCACAGTGGCAACCTCCATGCTTTCTTTTTGGTGTCTCCTATACCATATCATGCCATATCCTCCAAATTCACCTTCTCCCCAAAACACCAAGCACCGTCCAGAATCCCTTATTACACTCTGCACCCTCCAACAATGGGGTACTATTCCTCCCACTGACACCAACAATGGGGCACTATTCCTCCCACTGGCACCAACAATGGGGCACTATTCTTCCCACTGGCACCAACGATGGGGCACTATTCCT